CAGCAGCAGCAGACAGTGCGTAAAGTTGGCTTCCACAGCGATCCTGATTAAGCCTCTACATCAGGGCTAATTCTAGCCCTACTTCAGGCCTAACTCTCATCTAAGCCAATGCTACTAATAATTACTGATAGGCCAAAGGTTTATAGCATCACAATAGCACGCGTGGAAATAACTGGCATTGGGAGCAAACCACATGCACTTCGCATAGAAATGTCAAATAAAAATAAAAAATATCAACAAGTTCCATTAGTGCTGATGAAGCTGGAAATAAATAAATTGAACAACCAGCAATGGAGAGCAATTTTCATGAAATTATTTGAAACAATATCTTATTTTGATGCCACCATTCGTGATGTATACCGGAGCTGTATAAATTCCACCCATTAATATTTATGCGAGCGTCCAAAGGTGAAACTTTATTCCGCAAATAAAGCGGTGGGGAAGCTGAGGTGGGGTTTTTTTTTTCCTGCACTGTGGTCTGAGGGGAGAGGAAGAGGAGGAGAGGGGGGCTGTGCTGTTATGAAATGTTATTATCTGTTGAGGCACTGCGCCTTATTACAAGTGCTATCCTATTTCTGAAGTTTAACAGACAGCAAAAGCATGAATCCATTATTTCCCAGCGTAAGGAAATCACACATCGGAGGGATTTTCTTTTCTCTCTTTTTTTTTTTGAAATCGAGGAAATATCATAACCTTGTGGCGAGAAGTGGAGGCGTTGAGCGGCTCCTGTTGCCTGATTGATTAATTATTTTCTAATTCATTAATCACTTTCATGGGGCAAAAGGGCAACATCCTGCTACAGCAAATTGACTCCAGTCCCACCAAGCGACCACACACACTTTGCACCCAAAAAAAACAAAAAAGTTCACACGGACTGTTTGAGGAAGTTCCATCCCTCCCTCCTCCCCCCCAAAAAAAGAAAGATTAAAAATAAACATGGAAAAACTTTTTCAAATTCATAAATTATAATTTAATACCAAGAACAAATTTACAGCAGAATGCTTGTTTACAATAAGCTAACACAAACAAACAAGAATTGTGTTCAACTATAAACTTTCACACACACTCACATATATCACTTGCAATTAATAATAATAATAATAATAATAATCATAAAAAAAGTATCTATACGTTATCAATACCCTGCAGTCATATATTTTTATATATTTATATAAAAACGTGGGTCAGTTTAAACTGTTCATAATTACAATCATGTATCATTCTCTGGTCCATATGTGGCCACGAACAGCCAAAGATCAGTGTTCAATCAGTGATCCCTTTTAATTCAACCACAACATGGTGTTTTCTTTTTTTTTTTTCTTTTTCTTTTTTTGTTGTTGTCGTTGTGTGTGTGTTGAAGAAAAGCCTCAAAAACAAGGACAAAATTGCTAGCTTCCAAATACACGCACGTTCTCGCGCACGCACGCACGCACACACGCGCTCACACAGACACACACACACGCGCACCACGGCACCTGTCAAAGACCAAAAAAAAAAAAAAAAAAGAAAAGAAAAAGAAATAAAAAAAAGAGGAGCAAATAACACTAAAATATCAGCTCCTTCTCCAAAAACCTGCTCACCCTGTTTGTAGCCTAATAATGAACGTCGTTTCTTTTTTTCTTTTCTGTTTCTTTAAATACAAGGGCTAGTGTACTGAATGCACAGATTATATCTATACAGTCAAAAAAAGAAAAGAAAACAAAAAAAAAGAAAGAGGGATAGAGAAAGAGAGAGAGAGAGAGAGAAAGAGAGAGAAAACATTTACATTTATATATCAAAGGTAAAATAGGTTAGCGACCTGTGGCCATGCATTCACAGTCTAAATATACATGAAAAAGAAAACATTTTTTTGTAGTAATATGTATATACATTAAAAACAGAACTTTCAGTGCTACTAGCTAAGTCTGCCACTCAATTTTGAAGACGTTGTATTACCGAGAGAGAGAGAAAAAAAAATGGCAACCACAGATTTTTTTTTTCTTAATCACATATACTTTGTATAAAGAAATGAATTGACCTATATTTACAAGAATACTGCCTCTAATCAGTGTTTTTCCAAAAAAAAAAAAAAAAAAAAGTGAAATACACCACTGAAGTTTTTCTAAATTTTTGTCTTCCCTCCCCTCCTCCCTCCTCCCACCCCACCACCCCCCACAAAAAAAAAAACTGTTGTAGGCCTACTTTAACAACGTTTTGATAAGAAATCACATCATGCTTGTCAGGCACTTAATGCTTGAAGTGAATAAAGGGTGACATTTCAGGGACGCTTTAATAATACTGCTATTAAACACTACTCTGGCTAGGCTTCAAACTTTTATGACCCTTGACCTCTCCAACTTTTTTTTTCTTTTTATTTTAAACGAGTGCAGTTTGAGACACTGCACATCTCTAATACCTTTTATAACAGCAGGCAAATTTTAAAAAAAATCCAATTTGGGGGGTGCCAAATATTCAGAGGTGGATGAAATGAGGAGGGGGGGAAGATTATTCGCCAAATCATTTAAATCATGTAAACCGTCTGCGAGCGTCAAAGCAAATTAATTCAAATTTGAGGAGAGCTTGTGTAGCTTTAGTCAAAAACAGTAGTGGGGAGGAGAAAAATAACAAAAAGTGGATCCTAGAACTTCATAGTGAGTTTCAAAAAAAAAAAAAAAAAAGAAGTGTCTGCGCTGGGTCATAAAGTTGAACATGAACCTCCCTTGTTTTTTTTTTTTATTTAGTCCCCAGATGGTAT